CCCCAACCCACATAATTCGTAACCCCACCACAAGACTTTCTTTGTAAGAACAATTGATGTTCGCTTCGCTCACTCCGCTCCATCTCCTGTCCTCTTTACTAGTATATTTATGAGCCATACCTAACAAATCTCCACCTTGGCGAATATCCTGCCCCTTGGAAACTTCAATGTAGGTTGGGTTACCCTGCTTCTTTAACAACTCGAAACATTCAACAAGTCCAAGCAATGCTTGAACTTGTCTGTCGTAACTGACTTGGTGAACATATCAGCGACATTCTCATCAGTATGTACCTTCTAAAACAAAACCTCTCCAGATGCAACCAACTCTCTGATCTTGTGGAACCTTACATCAATATGTTTAGTTCTAGCACGATACACCTGATTCTTAGCCAAGTGAATAGCACTTTGATTATCACAAAGCAACTGAACTACACCTTGTTGAACACCCAACTCCTTCACTAAACCAGTAAGCCATAAAGCTTCTTTTGCAGCTTCAGCCACTGCCATGTACTCAGCTTCAGTTGTAGATAGAGCCACAACATATTGAACAGTAGACTTCCAACAAATAGGCCCTCCACCAAGAGTAAAGACATACCCTGTCGTAGATCTTCTATTATCCAAGTCACCTGCATAGTCTGAATCCACATATCCTACAACCAAAGGATTATCCCGCTGACTCCCAAAAACAATTCCATGTCCCACAGTACCCTTTAAGTACCGAAAGATCCACTTGACTGCTTCCCAATGTTGCTTACCAGGTTTAGACATGTACTTACAAACTTGACTAACAGCATGAGCTAAATCAGGACGAGTACATACCATCACATACATCAAGCAGCCAACAGCATTAGAATACGAAACCTTTGCCATATCTTCAGCTTCCTTATCTGTCTTAGGGCACTGTTCTGATGAGAGCTTAAAGTGATTCGCCAATGGAGTGCTAACTGGTTTCGCGCTGCTCATCGCAAACCTTTCTAGCATTTTCTCAACATAACCCCGTTGAGATAGCCGCAGTTTCCTTGAGTCTCTGTCCCTACAAATTTCCATTCCAAGAATTTTCTTTGCAGCACCTAAATCTTTCATATCAAATTCCTGACTCAATAAAGTTTTCAAACCGATAACATCATTCATGTTCTTCGCAGCAATCAACATATCATCAACATACAGTAATAGAAAAATAAAAGAACCATCATCAAGGCTCTTAACATAGACACAACAATCATACTCACATCGGTTGTAGCCAATCTTGATCATATAGGAGTCAAACTGTTTATACCACTGTCTCGGAGACTGTTTCAACTCGTACAAAGATTTCTTCAATCTGCAAACTAAATGCTCATTTCCAGGTTGAGTGAAACCTTCAGGTTGCCGCATGTAGATCTGCTCCTCTAAATCACCATGCAAAAAAGAAGTTTTAACATCCATCTGCTCTAAATGCAAATCCCAACTAGCCACCAATGCAAGTACTGCTCGGATTGAAGTGTGCCTGACCACAGGAGAAAAGATTTCATCATAATCAACTCCTTTCTGCTGTGAAAAACCCTTCGCTACCAAACGAGCCTTGAACTTCTCCCCCTTTTTTTCTGTTACTGTTGGTTTCTTCTTATACACCCATTTGCAACCAATCGGCTTCTTACCCTCAAGAAGGGGAACTAACTCCCATGTGCGATTGTGATTCAAAGACTCCATCTCCTCAACCATGGCTGCCATCCACTTGTCGTTTTCCTGACTCGTAACGGCATCATAAAAAGTAACCGGATCATCACTGCTAACAATAAGTGCAAAAGATACCAAGTCTTCAAAACCCAATCTGTTCGGAGGCTTTATATTCGTCCGTCTCACCCTGTCTCTAGCGAGACTATAATCCTGCAAATCATCCGTAGTGGAACCACCAGAAGTCGGTTGAGAAGTTTCTGGTTTCTCAATTGGAAACTGCTCGAAATCCACCACTGTCGTGTCTTGCTTCTGCTGCAACATGGACTGTTCATCAAAAACGACATCTCTACTAATCACAACTTTCTTCGCAACTGGATCCCAGAACTTGAATCCTTTGACACCTTTCTTGTAACCCAGAAAAATGCACTCCTTTGATTTTGCATCAAGTTTGGATCTCTCATCAGCAGGTACATGCATATAAGCAGGACAACAAAAAATCCGTAAGTTATCAAAACTAGCATCATGACCAGTCCATACCTCTTCTGCAACTTTCCCAGCCAGCGATGCCCTTGGCGATCTGTTGATAAGGTAACACGCCATGTTAACAGCCTCAGCCCAGAAGTGTTTGGGAAGCCCCGCATTCAACCGCAAACATCTGGCTCTTTCATTCAATGACCTGTTCATTCGTTCCGCAACACCATTCTGTTGTGGTGTCTTGCGCACTGTAAAATGCCTCTGAATCCCATGCTCCTTACAAAATTGTAGGAACTGTGAATCTGTGTACTTCGTACCATTGTCAGACCGCAAACACTTGATATTTCGTCATGTTTGGTTTTCTACCTCAGCTTTCCACAGCTTGAACTTCTCAAAAACTTCAGATTTCTGTTTCAAAAAATACACCCAAACTTTCCGTGAAAAATCATCAATAAAAGTAACATAGTACCTAGATCCACCCAAAGACGATGTCGTGGAAGGCCCCCATACATCAGAATGCACATAATCAGGAATCCCTTGAGTTGTGTGCTTCACAGTCTTAAAACGGACTTTAGTTTGTTTACCAAGAACACAATACTTACAAAAATTGAGCTTACAGCTTTTGACACCATGCAACAAGTTTCTCTTGTGTAATTCTGCCATACCACGTTCACTAAGATGAGCAAGGCGCATATGCCACAATTTTGTCGTATCATCACAGGACTCAACAGAGTGAACTCCACCTGCAACGGTACTCCCTAACAATCTGTAGATATTCCCTGCAGTCATCTTGCCTTTCATCACAGTCAATGCTCCTTTAACAATCCGAATGGTTTCCCTATCCTCGTCAGCCTTAGGGATAAAACCATTCTTGTGCAAAGTGCCCAAGGAAATCAAATTCTTGTTCAAGTCTGGGATATGTCGAACACCACTCAACGTCCGAACGGAGCCATCGTGCATCTTAATTCTGACATCACCAATACCAACAATATTGCAACATCGATCATCACCCAAATAAACCGAACCAGAATTAACCGGCCTGTATGTCGAAAACCATTCCCTATTTGGCGTGATGTGATAAGAACATCCAGAATCAAGAATCCAAGCATCCGTCAATTGTGTCGTTGAAATAGAAAGCATATCACCCTCACTGCAATCAGAATTATCATCCTCGACCACGTTCACAGACTTGGATGAGCCATCACGCTTCTCATCAGTTTGCTTTTTCAACTTCGGACAGTCTCGCTTCATATGTCCCGCCTCCTTGCACTTGTAACAATGAATCATCTTCTTATCCCTAGATTTGGATCTGGAATTCCGTTTCCCGGACCCTGCCTTCTCTGGCTTCCGTCCACGATCTCGATTACCCTTGACATATAAGCTATCGGCTTGAGAGCTTTCCCCTGCATTCTGCTTCCGCTGGTTTTGAGCCAACAAGGCTGTAGTAATCTCCTCAACGTTGATAGTCTCTTTCCCATATGTAAGAGTAATCACCATGTGTTCGTAAGAGGGAGGTAACGAACACAACAGAATCATCGCTCTGTCTTCATCCTCAATTTTCACATCAAGCCGAGCCAGATCAGAAACGATTTGATTGAAGACATTCACATGTTGCGCCAAATCGTGATCGTCCTGCATCTTCAGCCCATACAGCCGCTGCTTCAGATACAGTTTTGTCGTTAAGGATTTGGACATAAACTGACTTTCCAACTTCCTCCAAATTTCGTCTGGAGACGATAGATGCATGACGTGATACATGACCTCGTCCGCCAAACATAATCGTATGGTTCCTGCCGCTCGCTGCTGCAATTCTTCCCAATCTTCCTCAACCATCGAAGCCGACTTTGAAGGTCGCAAAGCCTTCAAGATCCCTTGCTGCGCCAATAGATCCTTCATCCTCGTTTGCCATAATCCGAAGTTACCCTGACCATCGAATTTCGCGATTTCGAATTTTGCTTCTGACCTCTGATACCAATTGTTGACGAAAACGGGTAAAGAAAACAAAAGAACACGAGAATTTTACGAGGTTCGACAATGTGCTTACGTCCTCGGTGCCTAGGCGGCGCTAAAAGTTTTATTCAATGATATTTTAGGTCTAGGTTACATCTCTATTTATAATAGAAAACCCTGGTACATAATTACAAAATCAACCCTGTACCGTACCGCGGGGCACTGCCCCCGCACCCCCAACCCACATAATTCGTAACCCCACAACAAGACTTTCTTTATAAGGACAGTTGATGTTCGCTTCGCTCACTCCGCTCCATCTCCTATCCTCTTTACTGATATATTTATGAGCCATACCTAACAACATGAAAACTCAAAAAACTTCCCTTTGGTAGCTACTCATTGTTTTCGAGTTTCAATTGATTCATGATTTTGCCACTAGTGTGCTATCACTGCTGATGTGACTTAATCCCTCTATCCTCACTACTTTCTTCTGAACAACACGTGACCAACTTTAATGTTTTCCCTTTAGCTTGCATTTGATGTCAATCCATCTCTCTTAAATGCCCCCACTATTTAAAACTTTCTGCAGCTGTGCATGCATTACTAGTAGTGAGCAATAAATTCAGTGTTAATTAGCTCTCTGTTAACCATCAAACTGAGCCTGCTTATGTTACATAAATGACTCAGCCAATACCCTACAAGAGTTGCAACTGGAGCCAAAACAATCAAAATTTCCCTTAATCAAGGAATATTTTGACTGAGATCCGTTAATTAGTCGAATGATAAGGATGTTTATTTTTGTACCATCCTATATAAATTCAAATCTCGATATTTATCTTAAAAATGTAATATTGATGTACTTAATCAAAAAAATAATATTTTAACCGAGTATGATATGTTGAAGATGATTGTATGAACCAACTCGACTAAACTCCGAGAATCTTGGGCAAGTGATTTTATGCTTATTATAAACTTTGGCCTTCAAAATCAGCCCCCCCCCAGTGAATGTGACAAATGAAGCTAGCCTCATGAAACAAACTACTCACTTCTCTCTCCTACCCATCAAGTCCACATATTGCCAAAATACATTCACATGTCTGTTTTCTTGTGGAAAATGATAAATTTGCTCCACTTTTGCTTACAGTTGGATCTCCACCAACTACTCCCTACTACTACCACTATCCTCCTCTATCCACACTCCAAAAATTCATCTTCATCTACATGGTAATGCTCTGTGAGTCATTCATTGAAGCCAACCACCATTCATAGGGGAAAGTTATGTGCAAGTTTGTTTCTCATCTCCCAAATTTCCCTGCCATGAACCTAATGGTTCTCTTCTTTTTGTCTGCTCTGTTCACAATGGCATTTTCTTTGAAACCTGAGCCAGCCAAAAATAATGCCCAGATCACTGTAATGGGTCTTGTTTATTGTGACATTTGCTCCAACAACAGCTTCTCTAGACACAGCTACTTCTTACCAGGTGAAGTTTCTCTAGTTTTGCTGTTTTCTATTTTGGGTATTTAGTAAGTAACAAGTTAAAATGAGAGCATGTATCTCATTGATCAAAATATTGCTAAACCAGGTGCAGAAGTTCAAATATCCTGCAACTTCAAGGCATTTGTTCCAAAAACAAGAGAACGAGTGTCATTCTCAGTTAACAGGACTACAGATAAACATGGAGTTTACAGGCTTGAAATACCAGCAGTTGATGGGATCAAATGTGCAGAGGCTGTGTTTGCATCATCTTGCCAGGCAAGCCTAGTTGGAAGCTCATCTATTTCATGCAACATTCCTGGTTACAAAAGCACAACAGACCAGATAGCTATCAAATCCAGACACCGCAATCTCTGCATCTACAGCCTTGCTGCATTGAATTTCAGACCATCAAAAAGAGATGTTTCCTTGTGTGGGAAATAAAGCAACATTCCTCTTGGTGTTCACTCGCAACTTTATCCATATGTTTTTTGGGTAACTTCTGCAATTCTCTCTCTCTTTTTAACACAAATCCTTTGTTTTTGAAGATAGATCCAATCTTCTCATCTTCAGCTTTCTTGTGCGAAGGTTCTTTCCATTTCTCCGTCTGCACTTTAAACACCCTTTTACATTTGCCTTCTAGCCTTGGTGTGCTCTTTAAAGAAGTACAAAGGGTCATGTAAGTATTTTCATCCTTGCATTGCTTTTTATGCTTTGTGTGAGCACAGCAAATTGTGCTATGAGACTTTTGTGCATCTGGAGTCCAGGTTTAGCATGTGACATACATGAATATTTACCATATTTTATTTAGATTGGTCTTTAGTTACAATGTATGAAATGTATGAAGTCATTACAGATATAGGTTTCATTGCAAAATCTCTGATTCAGCTTCACAGTAGAAAAAACTGTTTTTATTACTTGCCCTAAAAAGGCATGATGAAAAGCTCAAATCATGAAGCTGTTCTTGCATTGACATGGTTCGACGTTTTCTCATTAACCTGTCAATTTTTGCTTATAAAAGCATTTCTAGGCCCTTTCAACTTTCAAGAAGAATAACAATCCCCTGATCCATCAATCTGAAAAATAGTGAACAATCGATCACACTGCAGCTTTCAGTTCTAGTGTACTTGAGCAGTTTCCTAGTACTATCTTTGATGTTTATGGTTCTTTGCTTCCTACAACCATTATAATTAATGCAGACATGAGTTGTCATCTCCAAGGTTCTGCAATTATATTATAATTTCATCAACAGAGCAAAGTCTTCTACTCAATTATTGGAGCATACTTGCACCAAATGCTCCTTGCAGACTGCTATTAACTGTGACGACCCATCATCATGCAAAGTACAATAAGTTTCTTGAGTTGTTCATGCTTAAAAAGTACGGTTCTTCATGCTTAAGCTCAGGACCAGATCATTGTTACATGGGATCAACAGGGAGATCCTAAGTCTGAGCTTGAAAAGATGGTGATAAAACCTAAAGAAATTAGTGAATGTCTATATTAGCATGATGTGATTTTAGAAGGCATATTGTAAAAAAAAAATTCTAATGTTTGATTAAAAAGTCACTTTGGTTCTTATTCTTTTTTAGAGTATTTTTTTCCTCCAATGTTTCATTTTGGGGTAAAAATGTCCCTCTATAAATGGAAACCATTAGTTAACAAACGGTTAACGCTCCTAAGGAGGGGCCTTTTTTTTATCTTAAAATAAAATGTTGAGGGCTAAACTGCTCTAGAAAAGAAAGAATAAGGGTTAAAGTGACTATTTGATTAAACGTTAGGGACTTTTTTACCTTAAAATAAAAATTTGGAGTAAATGCTAAAAAGAGTATGAATTAAAATAACCATTTTTATAAACATTGGGGGATTAATTTTGTCATTTTGCCATTTTTAATAGTAGCACTATCTTGTCAATCATTATATCTATCCTTGTTTCTTATTCACGCCTCTCTAATGTATGGCTAAGTAAGTTCAATAGCAATGGGAGTTGATGATATGGTAGTCAGGGACTGAAATGTGATAGCCTCTTGAATCGTCATACATCAGATCCAAATCTTTAAAATAATCCAATCCATTAACTTTTATCTCCTCTGTATTTGCATGCATGAAAGTCAAAAGAAACAGACCAAAATATTTTACATAACAACATTTCAAATCCTCTCATTTTCCTGGGTGTAAATGATAAGTTTAAAGCAACGGTATCACAACATTCTGGACCATCAGTTGATTGGAAGGGCAGAAGAAGAAATCATACCAGCTTTGCACCTGATCATGGTAAAGGTGGAGGACGAATTCATTCAATATCAAATGCTTATCATAGGAAATAATTATCTCAAGAAACATGGATCGATCGAAGAGGGAGCGGGTGGTCTAATCATCCCTAAAAAAATTAAATTTTCATACCTTTTTATTTTATATTTTCCATCTAGTCTATCCAAGAAATAAATGCCACAAGCTCCTCGGGACCAGCATGAGCAGTCACTTGTAGTGCGACCACGTTGGCATTTTCAGTTTACATGATGGAAACTTCCATTTCTAAACAATATTGAGCAGAAGTTTACATGTCAAACTACGTAAAACAAGTATGCAAATGCCCTTACAAACCTAAAATAAACCCATTTTAGAACAAATAAGCGAAGAAATTTGCGAGTGGACAGTAAATTGTTTCTAGCAACTAGTCCTTATGGGTCAAAATCGCTTCCAATCAAACATTGAATAGAGCACATATGTTTTGCCAATCAAACACTAATAGAGCACATATGTTTTGCCAATCAAACATATTGTTGAAGAGAGTGATTCAAGAATAATATGGAGATGAATATTTGTACCTAGGGTAACTCAATAATTTTGGAGTCCCAATGTGTTCTAGAATTTACTATTTTCTTTTAGATATAGTAACAAAAAATACTTTGACAAAATAATTATATTGGCCCTTATTCTTTATTTAGAGCATATTAAACCAACGTTTTATTTTAAGTCAAAAGAGTCTATCTATGATGAAAATCGTTAGTCAATGGTGAACTTCCAAAACTAACTCAACGAAAATATATGAACAAAGATGTTGAAATGGCATGTCCATGTCAATAGTTATATGTCAGCAAAATTATTTATTAAAAATAAATATATTTAAGGATAAATTATACATTTAGTACTTAAATTATTACTTTTGTTTTGTTTCGATACTTAATTTTTTTCAAAATCATACCTAACATTTAGTTTAAGTTTCAATTTGGTATCTTACCATTAAAAAATTAATAGAATTATTAATATGACGTTTTCTTTTAATTTTTTCAACGATAATGTGACAATACCTTATGATGATACATCAACATCAATGTTAAAATTTTAACTTCGGAGTACCAAAATAAAACCTAAACTAAACATTATATATAATTTTGAAAAAAATAAAGTTTAAGTATCAAAATAGAACAAAAATAATAATTTAAGTATTAAACATATAATTTATCTCATATTTAATTATTTTAATCAAAGTGAATTAGATAATGACACATGTCACCGTTTAATTGATGGGAAAATGAATATTATGAAATGCTTGTGATGGGACCAAGCTACCAAGCTTCTATTACCCCAAATCACTACTGAATGTGGGTCAAACTTGGTTCTTCTAGCAAAATAGTTGAACAACCAATCATTAGGCCAAACAATACAATCAACTTGATATATTTTTACAGCAAAATTTATTAATCTTAAATTCTAGTTACCCTAATCCTCAATCTGAAACACCAATAAATTTTTATCATTGTCAGCAGAAACCCGAGCAACCTAGCCGTTCGTGGTCGAACCCTTTATCCAGTTTGAAAACCTCAACAGTCTTGTCACCCTCTGTCGAGTCTCGCCTTGACTGCCCCTTCACCGTGGTCTGCAACCCGATATTTGAAAAGAATGAAATTCAAGACTTCCTAGAATTTTTACCAGCTCATTTCAATAAGTGATATTAAGTAAGCAGATAGAGGTACAATAATTTTTTTGAAAGAGAAACTAATATTGTTATTAACCATAAATAGCATCATCCACTACATTTAGCCAAAGAAATGTTGCGCCTTCAGCCACAAAATACATATCTGTGTTAAAGGAAAGAGCATGAGCGTCTAAAATATGTGATGCTTTGTTGGATATTCGAAGAACAAATGAAACCTTGACATGTGGGTGCAAACGTAGGAGACGACGTGCCTCCAAGAGCTGGAAATTTACCACAGATAAATCAAGACCGCTCGAGAGGAGTTAATTAACCAGCGTTTGCTGCATCACACTTAATGGGAACTGTGCCGAAGTGAAATCGAGAGCCATGAGGATGCCGTTAGTTAAAGCTATCGCTTCTACCTCGTTGGCAGCACAGACATCAGAGACTACATTGGCTTCCTCCGACAAAACTAGGTCATGCGAGTCACAAGCAAGAAGACCGATGGAACCACGCCCGACTTCTGGATTAAGCGCTCTATCAACATTAATCTTGATCATAGTGGGGGTTGATTTCTGCCACAGGGTCATAGAAGAGCTGCCAGGTTTCAATAGAGTATTCAGATTCGCAGCAGTGTATGCATCCTGCAAAGCACGACCCTAAAGAATAATATTCCATCCCTGTAATAGTCGTCTTTCATGTACGAAAATATTTTGACGATTCCAAAGTCTCCATAGGATAACAAGATCAATGAACTGCCTTAAATCAGAAGCACACGCAAGCTATCCAACCAGTCACCACGCGACGATGAAGCCAAAGAAAAAAAGCACTGTGACGAAACCTGCAGATATCAATCTCTCATGCGCCGGAGCAATCACAAACCGCATGCAATACAGTTTCATTCGACAAGCCACATAAACAGCAATGACCGTCAGAGATGCCAACGAGTGCTAATCGATTGCAAACCGGGAGAGCCTCGTGCACAAGCCACCGATCAAATAACCTTATTTTGGGCAAGGTAACCTGCTAGCACGTAGAAGCCAATGATATGCGGAACAAACCGAATAAACCCTGATCAATTGAGAACTCTGTTGACATCATTTTTCGTCTGTCCCTTTTTTTAATTATTTTATTATTATTATTATTAATATTAATACATCTTTACTTTATTTTTAGGTACAAAATACAAACCCATTTGCTTCTTCCATTTGCTTCCATCACTTTGGCTTCACCGCTTTGTCAGCAAAGTGAAAAATCAGTACTAAAAAATCCAATATAATAAAGGGGGAAATCACTGAAGATCTAAAAATGAAAAATAGGGATTTAAGGAAATCATTCCCCTCTACCATAGCTTCGTCAAATCATCACCAAAGATCTAAAATATTCAGAGATATGAACATGCAAAGAAATCCATAAAAGAAGGGAATCGAAAAAAATGAGAGAAAAGCAGCAGAAACAAAGAGGGATTCGGGGAGACCATTTTCGAACAATAAAATAGGAAGGGAGAAACCAACGAAAAGGAGAACGAAAAAGAGAGGGCTCGAAAAAAAAGGGATAGAAGTCCGAAGAAAAAGAAAATAAAAATGAGAGAAGAAAACCTACCTTATGGGTTGAAACTATTATCATCAGAGAAGGAGTTCACTGGGAAGTCAAAGGGACGCCGAATTTCGAAGGTTTTAAAATGTATAACATTAGATCTATGTATCTAGGGAGAGTTTTAAGTATTGGGAGTCGCAGATTGGGGTTAAGGAAGTGAAAATGAATGTTTTGAGGTGTTTGTTTCCCCTCCAGCCACCGTGAAAGGCGAAGGTGAACACTAGTGAACGGTGGTCGTGCCTCCGGTGAGGGGGAGTTGAGAGAGTTTGTGAACTCTCTCTTTTGAGAAATCGAAAAAAAGGAAAATGAGGCTAGGGTTGAAAAAGGGTTAGAAC